TGTGTTTTTGACTGCGTGCTATTATATTGCCTTGTAAAAAAAATGCAAACTCTGTGCAAAGATGTTCAGCATTGTAGCGTATTTACAATAATATCTGGTCTGATACTTTTGTCACAGTTTTTGTTGTGTATTTTCTTTAAGCACTGCTCTGTTTACTTGAATAAATTTTCCTGCAAATTATAATTCAAGTGTTTTTTTTTTTATTTCCAGTGACATCTGCACAGTCTTTTTACCCTCTCTTACTTTACTTTTTTTATTCACAGTTCACCATCATTATTTATTTGTGATTCATGTGTGCCTTAAAATGAAAAAAAGTGGAATTGAACTGTTTTCTACACAAAACTGCTTAAACAATTAGTTTACATGTTGGATCTTCATCTTTCTGTAGGTTTACTTAAACATGTTGTGTTAGGAGGAAAAGCACAATATTATTTATGTTATTCTTTTTTTAACATATTGGAAAATAATATGAGTTTTGCYTCTGATAAAACTCTTACAAAGTGTTAATCATCAGCTATAATTGGTGTTAGTGTTTCTATGTTTTATTTAATTTCTAAAGAGAAAATTACATTTCGAGGAGAACACAACTTGTTTTTAAAGTCGCATGCCTGTATTGGGCCCTGTGATTTTTTTTCTTTTTCCCTGCTCCCTTCCATCTGTTTACAATGTCTCAGTCTATTAATAACATTGTCTGCAGCAGTGCTGAGAGTTGGGATTTCATAGGTTTAATGACAGCTTTATTTATCTTTAAAATAAATGTTGTGGTCTGACAGAATCATTTAGGACCTCTGTGTAAAAACAATGAGAATTTCAGGGTTTCTACAGATTTTAGATTTCAAAAATTCACTCCTTTTTTAGACTCAAATTTTCAGATTTTTCAGTCTTTCTGCTTTTAATGCCTAAGTAACAGCATGGTACTGTGTATGTATTCTAAACAGTTTTGATAATTAGTAACATTTACTATAATGTATCTAAAGGTTTGTAGTATATAGCTTGTATTGATAAAAAAATCATAAATAAAAAGGTAATTTATAGACTCAGTATTGATGTGATCAACAAGAAATTCAACTGCAGGGCTTTCTGATTCACATATTTTGACACGGCTTTATATCACATGATGAAAAGTCACTTTGCCCATGTTTTGTTTTTGTTGAGCTCTTTTGAGACTTATTTTTTTGGAAATTAGCATTATCTTTTTTTCAGACACAAATAAAACAAAAAAAATCTACAAACAAGAAAAATTTAAAAATCTGTTCCATTTTCTATTTTTCACATTTGAAAAACAAAATTTTATCACAATCCCTGCATGGCAGCTTCACTGTTTTGACATTGTGATTTTAACATTTGCATGTTGACTCCAATCGGTGTATTTGAATCTTTGACTTATTTATTAATTGCATCATTTAGCATTTAAAAAATGTTCATTTTCTTTGTTAACAGCAGATAAAATACGACAGACATGAGGTGAAGAAATCTGTATTAGTGAAACAGTCAACAAATGTCCAGTTGCACCTTGTTCCAAGTAAATATTTATCTAAAAATAAACTAAATACAAGGAGATCATTGTTTGCCTCCACCCTTTTCCCACCTTCACCTCCTCCTGATGTTTGGACAAAAACAAACAGCACTGGAGCCAATGCAGGGAGAAAACCCAGACCGGCTCACAGAGGGCTAGTATATTACTGTGCTGCCTGCTGGACTCTTGGTTTCCTTCGCAGCGGTACAAGTGGTGCCACAGAGTCCAGCACAGTAGCATCCACTGGAACTCCCAGACATGGCTCATCTGACCCTGCCAGTCTTCCTTGTTCTCAGCTTCTCCTTGCTCTGCTGCAGCCGTCCGTCTCGCACAAGGAAAGCTGTTTCATCCCGTCAGTCTGGAGGTAGTAACATGCGGTTCATGACTAATGTGCTCTCTGTCAGGGTTTATCATCTGACTTGCTTTATCAATTTTTTGTTTGTTTGTTGAGCAGCTGCAGAGGATGACGATGTGAAGAGTCAGATTGAGAAGCTGTGGCAGGAGGTGAACTCACTGAAAGAGATGCAGGCCTTGCAGACAGGTAATGTCTCTTCATTAAATGCATTAATTAAATTTAAGAAAACAATGGACTGACTTCATTACGTTATGTAATCTGTATGATGCTTGAATAAATAGTTCTCATGAAAATGACTAGTTAGTGTGGGCTCTTCATTAATAATGGCAACATTTTGAAGAGCTTGATGTGATCTGTAACCACTAGAGGGTGGCAGTGCTCATTGTGACTTCATGTAATGAACTTCACATTGTGGGAGTTACTTACAAAATAATTAGGAAAACAAATCTGAACAGTAAGTAAACCAATCTCTGCAGAGAAATTTGCAATATTTGTGTTTTGATATAGTTTTGATCCCTTAAAATGCTCTATTTTCCATTTACTACAATTCATTTTACTCTTGATCTTTTTATGCTTCCAGTGTGCCTCCGGGGTATCAAAGCTAACAGAAAGTGTTATCTCACAAGTGAGGAACCCAAACATTACCATGAGGCAAACGAAGACTGCATAGCTCAGGGAGGAACACTTGCAACACCGCGGGACATGATGGAGAACAATGAGCTGAGGGACTATGCAAAGAGAAGTGCCCCAGGAACCAGGGACTTCTGGATTGGTGTGACAGACATAGTGAAAGAAGGCCAGTATGTGGACGTCAACAGCCTGCCGGTCAGCTACTTCAACTGGGATCGCTCCAAGAAGCAGCCGACGGGAACAAAAAGGGAGAGCTGTGCAGTGCTGTCTGTGGCTGCTCAGGGAAAGTGGTATGATGAGGTGTGCCGGAGCCTGAAGAAGTACATCTGTGAATACATTATACCTTGAAAGAAAAACAGGGCTGACTGGTATTTTGGTGAAACGTGTGGTTTTGACTAACTAAAGCTAGCCTGTACAAAACGTAACAGTTCATGACAGGAAAAATGACAATTAGATTACCAGTAAGCTTTACTAAACACAACAACAACTCGTTATTTTACTGGTATTAAAGTTATAATAATGCTTCATGTTTACGCAAGTCCAAAAGTGTAAAATACAAACAATAAATAAAACTATCAACTTTTTTTTATTATGTTTTCATTTCTTCCACATTTTATTTTATTTATTTTTTTATTTTGACCAGGGCTATTCAGATAAATTACTGATGGGGCCACAGTTACTCAAAGTCAACAGCTCAGTGGCCAGACATCCTAGCTTTGTCCGATAATAGGAGAAACATTAAGGATCATGTTTTAGTGTCTTTCACCATGTAAATTGCTTTGTTTTGTTGCGCTGAATGAAATTTAAAATTTACCATTGATTTAAAATCTATTTTTTATATTTAATCAAGTAAAAACGTTTTGGCAGGCCGAACAGAAGTCACTAGTGGGTTGGATGTGGCCCGCGGACCACCAGTTGAATAGACTATGGTCCAGAACAGACTGTCATTGTACTTGACATTTTTCTATTGTAAAATGTACACAAAGCTAAATCTCTATTTTAACTTTTCACACTGATAGCAGTTTTCTTTTTTTTTTACTCTGCCTGTTGAACCGTTATTGTAAAGCAAAATTAATATATAGTAAGAACATTCATAAAGGTTAACCAACAGAGTAAAACACCTGTAGTTTATTCTTACACTATTCCTTTGGCTACAAGCTGCAGTATAATAAAGCAAATAAAAAAAACTTGGTCCTGTAACTTTCTAATTTTTGCACACAAATACACATTCTTGAAAAACATTGAATATGTAGAATAATCATTTCTGCAATTGTTTTTCACTTGATTGTAAATAAATGAAATTACAGTCTGATACAAAAAACATTTTATTTATATAAAAGTACAACAGAAAACTGAAATATTTTGTGGGTGTAGGCGATACTACAAGGAGAGGGAATGACCTTTTGTTTTTAATCAAAAAGCTATGAATTTTACAGAAGATGCATCTCTAATGTGTCAACATTAATATCCAGATGTTTGATGTGCTTGGTACCTTTGTTCTGTGGATGGCTGTATTTATTTTAATAGTAGACTGTGTTTTAGAGCAGATGTCTCTTTATTAAGCAAATGTCAGATTTTTTTCTTAACTCAAAACTAGCTAGAAGGAACATAAAACTCTTCAAGTTTCCACATGACCTTTCTTTGGAATGTTGGAGGAAACCCAGATCACCAAAAATAAACTGTAAGAAACACAAAAGGAACAGGGAGGCATTGAAAAAGGGACTCTTATCAAGCCCTCTTGCTCTGAGGTGACAATGTGAAATATGCATTAGTGTTTGCTCATATTTGCTGCTGCTACAAACTGCGAAAGGGGGAAATAATGTGTGTCATAATATTTATTGACATTGTTGTGCCTCATTCTGTGCTCCCAAATAAACAACCTACCTTACCACTGCCTTTCCACTAATTGTTAACCTATGCAAACACAAAATTGTATAGAAATAAATTAATAAATAATCCTGTTGATCTCGTAGCAACACAAACCTAGTACCAACTTGTGTTCCTGACTGTCCTGGTTTGAAAAACAAAAACGCACAGACACGCATCAACGTCATTGTATCGTCGCTGTTGGGTAATCTAATTTACCATATAATGGTTAAACCTAAAATCATTTTTGCGAACACAATTTCAGTTGCTGAGACATTGTCATTTGGCTTTTAGTACTAGAAATATTTTAACTTTCAGTTTTGGCATGTACGAATATCATTATGACAAGCGGAAAGTTAATGTTGATGTTCAAACAAACAGGATTTACAAATAGGAACGTCGTTTGATTATATGTAACAACGTCTTGCCTTAACCCTCAGTTGGAATGTGACGCTAAATCTCTTCGAGTGAAGTCTCGCGGAAAAAACCACCGGCCATTTTTCTCCATTAGGGCACTGTTCCCTGAGAGTGTTGCGATCACTTTGATAAGTCTACAACTTTTGGCCAGTTGAATTTTTTGTCTCCAAGCATTCAAACTTACTACAAATCAAACACAAACAATGTTTGTGTTTACTGCTGCAAAGTTTTGTCGATGACATCCTTGTCTTTCTAAACAGTCGTACAAATGGAAATGGTGCCTAGCGAAGAGAACCAGTTCGTACCCAAAGAGGTGAGATTACTATTACTACGATCCTATCCTAGAGTTAGCCTCCTGTCATTTTTTTCATGTCATACACCTGAATATTTGGAAAACTTTGGCACCACTTTAGGAGTTTTGTGATCTTGATGCGTCGGGTAGTGACTAACTCTCAGCTAACACACTTCAACGGCCTGTGATGACACGGCTAAGCTAATAGTTAGCAGCTAGTTTCGCTTCAACTCAGTCCGAGTGAATTTATACTGGTACCAGAATCTTAAACACAACTAATATGCCGTTTTTCTTTCATATTTAGATTTATAGTAGTCTAAAACTTTAAACCTTAAATGTTGCTCTTGACATTACGTTATCTGCTCAAACACGGAGCATTCTCCTGTGTGTCAACATCAGTTAGCTAACTTGCATAAAACAGCTGGTAGGATTTGGGTAGCTAATGTCGTTTCCATTTTTAAACCAGGTACGTGGTGATAACACTAGCTAGCTAATCTATTTGTTTGTTTGTTTTTTTAGTTCGCGAACACACATTGTTGCTTAATTTACGACAGAGTAACAACCCCGTTACAGAAATACGGAGTTTGAACCTGTTTTTCCACATGTTTTCATTCTGTCTAGTTCTAGAATCTTAAAAGATCCAATTGTTAAGTAAGTTAAATCACTTTGGATAGAACTAAGCTGCATTGTTCACAAGTACAATTTATTTTTCTTAAGCAAAATTCACAAGCCGTGTGCGTTACTTTTATTGGTATAAAATGACGGGCTAGTGTGTTATAGGTTACTGCTAGCTGCATTTTTTGATAACATTTAGCAGCATTGTTTATTAAGGTTGTTTTTAAGTCCTTTCTGACTGGAAATGTCTAATAGAAAATGCAATATTGTTGTCACTTAAATGTCCTACTTTCATCAAGTCAAAACAAACACCTACTTACATATGCATGGATATAGGTATTTATGATCCAAACCATATTATTCAATAAGTTACACACTAAATGTTTTAGACAACTTATACCGACTTATGAAAAAATTGTTATGACTGTTTTACTCAGTTATATTGGTTAAATATTATACAATCTAATTAACATTACAATATGTGTAGGTCTACAAGAGTCTTCTATTAGAATAAAGAAACATCTGTCTTCAGCCTAGACATCTTTATTGTTGGACAAACTTTTCACAAGTTGTTTAAAACATTATAGTGTGACAAGGCCTTAAGCATCCAATAGAAAAGCTCCACTACGAGTTTGTTGGATTAATGGTAATCTTTTTCTTTCTTAGAAATTGTTGTATAAATGAGAAATTTCACACAAATTGCCACTTTTATTATTTTACAAACTTTTGATAAGGACATAATGCAACAATGTTCCTCACACTTTATTATCTAATGCTGTTACTGTTTATGTGTGTTATGAAATATAAGCGTATTGATGATAGGTATTGTACATTAGCTTGATTTTTGAAACCTTAAAATTAATGGATTTTTCTCTTTAAAATAATTAGTTCAAATTAAATTGTTACAACTGATAAAAAAAGAATAACAATAAAATGTATAACTTCATTGTAGTAGAGTCTTAGGTTTCTTAGTATTGCAATGCTTTAGCTTATCTTGTATAATAATGAACAGACATTCAAAGGAGCAATGCCAACAAGACTGGTATAAAAAATGCTGCAAAGTCGTCACCTAATGCTAATTGAGTTTACTAGATTTGTTGCTTTTGTGAATCTTATTTGCTCTTTTTATTACAAATTTTCCATTTAAAAATATTGACATTTTGATCTGTTATTTTTACTCCAACTATAAATTTCTAGATTTGTAAATACCAGTTGTTGTTTTTTTTAACTAGAAGTGTTTTTATGTCAGCGCCTTGTGATTACATGATGCAAGGTAAAAATAACATTTAATCTGATAATACACTTGTGTGTTGTCAGCTGCTGCTTCTTTATAAGTCCAGTCAGTCACATTTTACCAAGATCACAAACCTCACAAAGAGGTGCTGAAAACTGAAATAACTGACAGGATTCCCACAATTATACCTTTCATCATTATGTCATTATGGTTATTAATTTGGTAACCAAACATATGCAAATAATGGCTTATTTTTTAACTGTATTAATCAATATTTTTTTTAGAATTGCTAGAAAGCTTTTGTCACCCCCCCCCCCCCCAAAAAAAAAAAAAAAAACTTACTTTTTTGTCTTTTTTATCTAAGTTGCTCTTCATCTCATCTGTGTCCACGTGTTGTTAGGATGTGTTTTGGAGGTGCAGACAGACAGTTTTTAATGAAATGAAGAGGATTTCTCAGGTGTGTGTGTTGTGTGGGAAAGCATGGTTGAACAGATGCATGAAGCTGCACCTAATAGGATTTTAATACACAAGCAAGCATCAATAATATCTTCAAGAGGTGGGCTCCAACAAATTCCAATTTATCAGTTATAGAAACAGAATTGACAAATGAGCTGTGTGCTGTAAAATTCTTCAGTAAAAGAATTTCAGTTCTGGTACTTGTAAATTATATACGCATGTCTAACWCTGTTGATTTTTAAAAAAATGCTATATAAGCTGACCTAAATAAAATACAGCAGCATGTAGTGTTTATAAAGAAGTAGTAAAATAGACAATAATATAATTATTTGTTTTCTTGTTTCAGGAAATTAACACATATATTTCCTAAAATATGGTATATGTCAATCTTGAGTTGGCTGTAAAAAAATTAAAACTTTGTTTTATGAAATTTACTTTAGTTAAACTTCATTGACTTGTCAAAAAAATGACCAATTTTAAATTAACATTTTGTTGCTGCTCTACAGTTCTCAGAACTAAACATTTATTTATTTATTTATTTATTTATTTATTTATTTATTTATTTATTTATTTTGCATGCATGCATGATGAGGGGAGTTTTGAGCTCTTTTTCCTGACTTGAACTTGACAATGTATAAAACGTCAGGCCAATAAATGCAATGAATGTTTTGATGACAGTTTGAATTGCTGCATCTTGAAACACCGGTTTTACTAGAAAAGCAATTTTTGCTGACTGTTTTCCTCTAGAATAAGGCARGAGTCAGCCAGCAATAGCATGGTGGTGTCACTGCCACGTAACTCGCTTTAAAAAGTATTTTGATTTCTCGATTGAGGCGAAGCAATAACAAAATATCCATTTGTCATCATCAAATACTACGAAATCCTTTTTTTTACAGCATGATAGATAACATTTTTTTTTGTTTCGTTTTTTTGCAATATGAAAAGTTAAGTTTTTCTTTCTTTTTTATTTTCAGATTCAGAATGCAGCTGAGGAGCCCAGAGTGCTGTGTATAATCCAGGACATCACCAGCGCAAAAACGATCAACGAGAGGCTCACCCTCAACTTGCCTGCTTCCACAACTCTTTCCAAACTTTATGAGGACGTCGCGCACAAAGCTGGATATGTGAACGACACCTTTGATCTTGCGTGGGGAAACGTTACAGCCATGGTGAGAKTATTAACTGACATGGACAGGGTGTGTGTGTGTGCAAGACATTGTTTTTCACACAAAAAAATAATTTAGTTGGGGATATTAACTCATGGGTCAGTGATTGAGTGGTTGAGTTTCAGTTCTACATTAGTCTTTGCATGTGTAGAAGTGAACACTGAATCCTAAACTCCCCCTGAATTACTTACCTGTCTGTGAGTGTAGATTTGTGGAGACCTCCAATAGCATTACTATTAGAATAGCTCATCCATCCATCCTTCCACTTTACACTTTTCCATGATCTGGCACCTATTCCCAGTTGTCAGAATAGTACTTAATTTAATAAAATAGTCACTGTTTTCTATTTTCATAGCATGTCAGTAGTCATTTTGGTCAGAGTGGTCATTACATATGCAATTGTTTTTAAGTAACKGTGTATAGACAGTCAGGTTTTTAGTAACGTAAAGCTTTAAASCTTACTAAATGTTGRACTTGACGTTACGTTATTTGCTCYAACACGAACTGCATCTRCTGTGTGTCAACATCAGTTAATTARGTAAACATTAACTTATGGCGACACACTGTGTAGCTTCTAAACTGTAAGGTCATGGCCACTGTACCATAACCTCTACAATCGCATAATTAAAGATTTTTAACAATGCAAGATGTTTTGTTTTATTTTTTAATTTTTGAACCATTCATTTCTTGCTATGTGCTGTAAAAATATATCTATAAAATTGTTTCTAATAAGGGACATAAAACTCTTGCAAAAAATCTAAAACAAAAAACAGAGTTAAGTTTGTTCTGGTAATTTTTTTTAAATTTTTTTTGTTTGTATACAATATGAGCCCAGGCTAATCCTGCTGCTGACCCAAGCCAAAGCCCAGGTGCTGTGCCTGTTGTTATCTCACTGAGTAGGTCAGTGGATTAAGCTACTGCAGCACTTGCTCACTTGTCCCCGTCTTGCTCGATGAAAGACAACTACGTATCTTTCCTCACCTGGTGGCTTCAGATTCCATTTTTGTCACGCTCATCACAACAGAGCATTTGTTTCTGAATTCAGTTTCAGCCTGAATATTTTTTTGTGGATTCCTCATGTTTGCAGTATATAAAAGGTTGGTGGTGTGTTTGTTGCCTTGTTGTAGCTTTTTATGGAAAACATGTCTAGATTTTTGTTTTATACTACCCTTTTTTAAGGCACCACTGGAACATAACAGCGAGATGTCCCTTTCTGATTCTGGATTTGAGCCTGGCAAGAAGAATTTTCTCCAACTTTCAGACAAAGATGGAGAGCAACCACAGATTGCATCAGTGAGTTATACAATATTAAAAGAAATGTTCCTCATTAATTAATCATGTCAAACCTTCACTCATTGCTTAAATCTACTAATGTGGAAACAACAAAGTTTTATGAGAAATTAGGTTCCTTTTATAACGCAGGATGAATCAGGAACAGCAGATAGCAGTGGACTGGATGACAGCTCCCAGGAGCGATTTATTGGACCTCTACAAAGAGATGGCAGTGCAGGTGGCAGCGGTGAATACAGCAGTCCATCATACTCCTACTCTTCTATCCTCAGCAAATCTGAGACAGGTGAGAGTTTAGCACCTGTTGAATATTTCACTCCACTATTTTAAAGATTGTCACAATTTGTAATCTGTCTTTATAATTCATCGTTTTCTTTTCTCCACCTTCAGGTTACGTTGGCTTGGTTAACCAAGCTATGACGTGCTATTTGAACAGTCTTCTGCAAACGCTGTATATGACCCCAGAGTTCAGAAATGCACTCTATAAGTAAGGAACCAAGATCACGGTTTTCATTGTGAAGCTTTTGAGGAATACAATTTAATATCCTTTCATAACTGTGCAACTTCAGCTGGGAATTTGAGGAGTCAGAGGAGGATCCCGTCACCAGTATTCCATACCAGCTGCAGCGGCTCTTTGTTTTGCTGCAGACTAGCAAGAAACGAGCGATCGAGACCACTGATGTGACGAGGAGCTTTGGCTGGGATAGCAGCGAGGGTGAGTTTTTGTAGCCCCTTATGACCAAAGACACATGGTTTCTCTGTAAGAAACCATGCGCTTTTCTATTTTTACACTAAAATGTCCTCTTTTTGTGTTATTTCAATAGCCTGGCAGCAGCATGACGTCCAGGAGCTGTGCAGGGTCATGTTTGATGCCCTTGAGCAAAAATGGAAGCAAACAGAACAGGTAGCARGAAACAAAAAGAAAGTTCTCTTACATTTCCAATAAAATAGCTTTAGTCAAATTTTCCTTTTACTATAGGTAAGAAAGGCCTAGGGAAATGGATAACTAAAACCCAGGATTTGGTTATTTCTTAGCTATGAAGAGGTTTTTAGACTATCAACACTTGGTAGCAATTAGGTCTGCAACTGTGTGCTTTCTTAGAACATAAATGCAAACAAAATCAGGTTTTACATTGTTGTGGTTGAATATGAGATTAATGCAGAGCCCATGTTGTAGCTTGACTTGCTTCTCCACGGTAATGAAACTGTGTGAGATGCAGACTGCAACACCAATCAGTCCTGTATAAAGAACACTACACAGACACTCATTTGTGTGTACTCAAATTGCAAACCTCGTGCATTCTGTTGTATAAAGTAATCTAGGGTTATCTCTCCATCAACAATTGTTTTTTCTGTTATTGTATCGTTCAGCATTTATTAGCATCCCACTAACTCATCAATCTAGATTTTTCTRCAGTAACCTATGTTTTCAGTTGCCAATGAAACACAGAAATATTCTCTGATGCAGACAGAACAGCATTTACATGTTGTTTGCTCTTATATTGATCTGTTTTACAAAGAACAAGATCATACACCAGTTTATCAGGTCAAACGTGTCTTTACTGTTTACTAATGGTCACATTCAAAGGGAAACACAGAGAAGCAATTTAAAGAGATGAGGCTTTTGTTGTTGTTGTTGTTGTATTTCTATGAAAAGGTTGTTTTATTACTCTATATTCAGGCTATTATACAATGATTTCATACTGCTTTATTTAACACAGGAATGTAGTTTGAAGAAAAACATTAAAGACCTGACCGTCTTACCTCTATCTACTCAGGCTGATCTGATCAACCAGTTGTACCAAGGAAAGTTGAAAGACTATGTGCGCTGCTTGGAGTGTGGCTATGAGAGCTGGAGAATCGATACATACTTGGACATCCCTCTTGTGATCAGACCTTTTGGAGCCAGCCAAGCCTACGGGAGTGTGGTGTGTTTGTCTTGAAGTTTATCCCTTTGAAAATTATACACAGTGCCATTAAAGACCATTTACAGTTTGCACTGAAGTTAAATGCGTTTTATGACCATTTAACATTTAAACTTTATTTTAAGTGAACCTAAAGTTTTTGATTTGTTGCCGCAGGAGGAGGCTTTGCAGGCATTCATCCAGCCGGAAACTCTGGACGGGCCCAACCAGTACTTCTGTGAACGCTGCAAAAAGAAATGTGATGCTCGAAAGGTGCGCAAACTGAAACCTGTTGGAGCACTGTTCTGTGCTCATCTAATTATTTATTGAATATTTCTTTACCCAGGGTCTGAGATTTCTGCACTTTCCCTACCTGCTGACTTTACAACTAAAAAGGTTTGATTTCGACTACACCACTATGCATCGCATTAAGCTAAACGACCGCATGGCCTTCCCCGAGGAGCTTGATATGAGTCCGTTCATCGATGTAGAAGATGAGGTGAGAGCAGCTCACAACAGTTTCTACAAACATTTAGTTAATTCCTTAATTATTGTTTGCTTAAGGTGATTTTTAGACCTGTAGTTTTCAAACTTTAGCTTCTGGACACAAAATAAGAGTTGCAGAAACTTGTGGCCCCAGATGTTAGTAGTTTACTAGGGGTGCAACGATACAGAAAATTCACGATTCGGTTCGGTTCGATACCTTAGTCTCACGGTTTGATTTGATTTGATTTGATTTATTGATTTAACAGGAAAAGATTACTAAAAATCAAGCCTGACTTAGAATAATTCCTGTTTTACAGCAGGTTCCTGTTCTGCAGCACATAAAACATTCAGAAATACAGCATCACAATCACATCATTATACACCATATACCCAAAGACAAACAAGCAAACCAAATTTCAGGAAGGCAGCATTTGCAAAATAGGACGTCTAAATATGAGCACAACAAAAAGTGTCCAGCAGATGGCAGACAAGATTCTTCTTAAAGGGCTGTAGTTTTGAAATGGACTTTATGTTTTGAGGAATGTCATTCCATGCTTTGGTATAAACATAGAAGAAAGACCTCTGGCCGTAACAGTTTTTAAAAGTTGGTAATATCAGTTGTCCTTTTGTAACAGATCTAGTTGAATGACCACTTCCAGAATTTGATTTGGGCAACAATACACAGAGAGTTCCATATTTGGCACCTTGGAAGATCTGAAAATATAAATTAATACCACTATACAAAACATAATTCTGAAAAGTCAAGGCATCAGACAATGAAAGAACTGTACAGTGATGAGTCCAACCAGGAAGTTTTTTATGAATTTTGTAGGCCCTGTTGTAGAGCCTAACTATGGATTCTAAGATTTCATTTGTTGTAAGAGACCAAACAGGTAAACAGTACGACATGGTTGAGAGTATAATGGCATGAAGATAGATATTTGAAARAGAAGATGTCAGATTGGATCAAATTTTTGAATAAACGTATAATTTCTGTTTCAACTTAGTGGTTAAGACTTGTACATGATCACGATAAGTCAAATGAGAATCCAAAGTAATTCCAAGATATTTGTAGGTAGTGACAATATCAAGGGGTTTGTTTAAAAAAGTGAGTTGATTTGTTATATTGAAATGTCTCCTGGGTGAGGAAAAATACATGCACAGTTTTTTTTTAACATTAATTGACAAAAGATTATCTTGAAGCCAACCATGAAATGTCTGAAGATCTGCTTGTAACTSACTATTAATAGATTCAATATTGGTTTGATATTTTTTCGATACAAAAAGAGGAATGTCCATGCCCTTCTTAAATTAAAATTTATTGAAATTAATTATGAACATTTGTTTAACCTCAAAAGTACAGTTTTTAAATTAAATGTTGCTGAAACAAGTTTCTCGGTGGATCTGCACTCGACAATGCAGCCTAGGTGGAGTAGTTGAACACAGATCCACTGATCCTTCAACACAGAGCATCTTCAGAAGACAAGTTGATAAAATAGATTAAAAAAATCTGTATTGTTCGATACATAGTGTGTATTGAACCTAAAGCACTGTATTGAACGGTTCGATACGGGTACATGTATTGTTGCACCCCTATGGTTTACGTATGCAAATTTTACTAATACCTCTGTTAAACATGAGCATAGTAACAATACAGTATAAACACACCTATTAACTATAAAACTACTTTTATTCATTTATGAATTAAAAAAAATTTTTTTTGGGGGGTGGGGCAATATTTATTGTGAAAATATCCCATAAACAATTAATTTGCATTTAAATAGATGTCTGAAAATCATCTGGGGACCCTCACTTGATGTTTCATGACCCACAGAGGGGTCCTGAACCCAATTTTGGGAACCACTCTTTTAGACTGTTCTTCCTCACAGAGCTGCTTTACCTGAGCAATGGTAGTGTTTCTGTTATTGTTTAACATAGTTTTATTGTTCTGGACTTTGAATGAGCTTCCTTAAAATAATGATTACTTGGACTTTTATTGCTCAATAAAGCAAATTTTGTGTTGTTAGTTGGCCAATATTATCAAAAAAAAAAAAAAAACTGGTAAAACTTGTGATTTCTTCTACTTGATTAAATTCTGGCTCCTTTAGCCGTATTGTGGGATATTTTTTCTGGCCTGAACATGTCTTGTGGAGCTGACAGAGACCAGTCAAAAGTGTGAGTCTTAAAACCTGCCACAGATATCAAGCTCTATTTACACCACAATGGTACCACAATGATTTGTGTGGGGTGGCCTTTTGATAGGAAATGATAACCAGCCATTGTAATGTGGTGTTGTCTTATCTTGTGGAACATTCGGCTGTGTGCATTTGAGTTTGTCTCATTAAGCCAGCACATAAATAATTGTTCAAAACTATCTCTTGTCTTTGTGTAACCCTCGTGTTATTGGCTCTACAATACTTCCCCTCTAGAAGTCGCCTCAGACAGAGAGCTGCACTGATAGTGGAGCAGAGAACGAAGGCAGTTGCCACAGTGACCAAATGAGCAATGATTTTTCCACTGACGACTGCGTGGATGAGGGCATCTGCTTGGACAGCACCAGCAGCACAGAGAGGGCGTTGAAGCCAAAGGTTATCAGCTTTCACTTTTTGTTAAATAGAGGTCAATTTATAAGGTTTCTCAAGGCTGTGTTCTGAAATGCATCTAAATGGTGAAATATGAGTGAAAGTACTTGAACTGGGGGAAAATACTGAAGTGGATCATATACCTGGTTTAAGTGATCATTTAGTGTTGCATTCTGCTGCTACCCTTGGGTCAAAATGACCCACAAGGCTTCAGTCTTGTGGGACCTGATTCATTTTGACCAAAGTGCAGGAGGAAGGTTAAGTTTGAAACTTACATGTTGGTCTGCATAGTCATTTCATTCATTTTTTATTTAAAGGGACAGTGCACATTAATCAATATTCTTTGCTCCGGAATTAGTCCTAAATTTCTAATTTCTAAATTTGCCATATGACCTTTTTTTTAAGCAGTTATTTAGATTGTGTCATCAATTTGTAGGAAAAATATGCGTTGTTCAAAATGTTATGTCTGAATAAACAGGAATCCACTGGATTTCTTCTTAAAACTTTATTCTCACTGTTCTGACTCCAATCAGGTTCACAGTACAGCACACAGGCCTCAAGACCTTGGGCTGAATCAAAACAAACAGACACGAGCTCTGCTCTGAGCAGACACTCTGCAAAACACTGACAACTCCCTTCTACTATAATAATGAATTGAGCTTATAATGTAGCTCCCTTTCTGTTTACACCCCAGGAGGTGTTACCTTTTATGTCAGACGTCAGAACGTACTCATTTTGTTTAGTCTAAAGAAAGAGCACATGATAAGACACTACTCTTATTCTGTTTTGGCCTTAAAGCTGCAATGATCAGAAAGTAAAAAAATACAATACTGCATCTAACATACAATTAATCAGTTACAAAATTTCCTTCAAGTTTGTAAATAAAATTGTCCTTATTTTACAAGCTTTTGTCATTCAAGAAAAATTGATGCAGACAAAAAAGGAATCATGTTTTAATCTTGTTAGAAAGTCTGACAACTGGTAAACAAAAAGGGGAAAATGATAGTTATGCTTTCTATCCTTAAAGCAATAGAAACAACTGGGTAGTCATGGGTTTCAATCAGCTATGAAAACATCTGTCAGAAATGATAAATTATGGTTCAGACTTTGAAAGTGATCATGCGTTCTTTTGGTGAATTTTACTTTGATAGATTTCCAGATTTTATTTTATGCCGCCACCATTGTCACAACTCTAATTTATAAAGCTGTAAAATTGACCTTCTGCAAACTGTGATAGTCTTTAGTTTCCCCACACTGTTTTCCCATATGTGCCCACTGCACCAGTATTGTAATAAGAGAAAATCCGAGAAACGTTACTAATTGTCACTCAACAGACATATTTTGTATGTGTGGAGGACCACGGTATTAGATCATCATAACAATAAATGTCATCTTTGTTGGTGCTCCTGTCTAATTTTTCTTCTTTAATTTATTTATGCTCAGAGCTTGCTGACCTTTGAGCTGTTCTCTGTCATGGTCCATTCGGGAAGTGCTGCAGGTGGTCACTACTACGCATATATCAAGTCCTTCAGTGATGGCCAGTGGTACAGTTTCAATGATCAACATGTTAGTAAGGTCAGCCTCAACCTTTTAATGCCCCCTTTTTTTTTTTTTCAAAAAGCCAATCAAGCTTGAGTTATGTGCCTTTTTCTGTAAACAAGTGTTTATTGTTTAATGCCGTTTTAAGTCTTTTGCACATTTTTCACTTTTCTGTGTTGCTGCTGCTGGACAGATCACCCAGGATGATATCAGGAAGACATATGGAGGTTCCTCAGGGAGTAGAGGCTATTATTCCAGTGCCTTTGCTAGGTTAGTTGTCTGAGAACCATTCCATCACTGTACTGTGTACAAATATGATTCATATAATTCTTAAAATTAAAGCTCATACTTTCTCTCAACAGCTCTACAAATGCATATATGCTGATTTATAGACTTAAAGATCCCTCAAGGAATGCAAGTAAGAGATTCAAAGTTGTATTAAACAGAAAAAAAATCAAAATTTTCTGTTTCTTTTTTCATATATTTTTAATTGGACTACAAAAATCAGCCCTTTAAAATAATCTGCAGCCTGTTGAATAGTGTTTTGTTCCTTCTGCAGAGGTTTTAGCTGTGGAAGACTTTCCAGAGCACATCCAGAGTCTGGTTCAGAAGGAGAAGGAGTCTGAAGAGCAAGAAAAGCGCCAGAGGGAAATTGAGCGCAACACTTGCAAGGTTCTTGTCTTTGCATCGATCTCAGATTATTGTGTGTTTAAAAACGAGACAGTTCACGCGTTAACTTTTGATTTTGAGTTCTGACGAGCTAATGGTCTTCATCTTCAGATCAAGCTTTTCTGCATGCATCCWGTAAAGATGATGATGGAGAGCAAGTTGGAAGTTCACAAGGATAAAACTCTGAGAGAAGCAACAGAAATGTCCTACAAGGTCTGAGTTATTTCAAATTTTTTAGCTGCTTTTTCTCCCTAACAACCTTTTGATTGTACTGCAGCTAACTCTTAACTATCAAATGTTTTGTATTTTGTTAGTGAAACTAAACTAGTGCATTCAGGCTTTCTTCCCTTCATGACCTTGGTAAAGATAATAACTACGTACATAAATGGTAAAAATTGTACTTTTTAAAAAAAATCATTTGTGGGTTCTTTACCTCAGCTGATGGAGCTGGAGGGAGTCATTCCTCTGGAGTGCTGTCGCTTGGTAAAGTACGATGAATTTCACGAGTATCTGGAGCGATCGTACGAAGGCGAGGAAGACACACCGATGGGGCTCCTCCTCGGAGGCGTCAAGTCCTCGTACATGTTTGACCTGCTTCTTGAGACTCGCAGGCCAGAGCAAGTCTTCCAGCCTTACAAACCTGGAGGTTGGCACTCTGCTAGTTTTCAGATATTTACCAGTAATAAGAATGTTTTTTTATAGTGTTATGCTTTGTTTTAAACTTGATGATGTGCAAAATGTACAATTTAAAAACATGACTTTTGTATTTGGATAGCAAGATATAATCACAATGATGATAGTTAGATGTAAACTCTTAATTAGTGAATATAAATGTAGAGATAGTCAGATCACCAAGCAAAAATATTTATTAGATCTGATTGTGTTTTTTTATCATTATTATTCGTCTGCAGAAGTGATGGTGAAGGTTCATGTTGTTGATCTGAAGACTGAGACCATTGCCCCTCCAATCAGTGTTCGAGCATACTTGAACCAGTCGATTACTGAATTCAAACAGCTCATAGCACAGGTTTGTTAATCCTCTCAGGTTTTTACTCTGACGTGTTATTTTACCTGTGTGTAACGACTATAAATTCCCATGAGAATGTGTAATTATGTCTGAGTATCTTGTGTGTGCTTCCCAGGCTACAGGGCTTTCTGCAGAAACCATGCGAGTGGTCTTGGAGCGCTGCTATAACGACCTCCGGCTCCTTTATGTTCCAAACAAGACACTTAAAGCTGAAGGATTCTTTAGGAGCAACAAGGTCTTTTTAATTGTCTTGTAGCAGCTTGAAAGTAGAAATACTTTAAAATATGTGCAAAAATGATTATAGACAAGTTTATATAGTGACATTTTTTTTTGGCCCTCAGGTTTTTGTAGAGAGCTCCGAGTTATCAGATCATCAGGTTCCTTTCACTGACTCGCTCTTGTGGAAACTCTTGGATCGTCACGGGAATACGATCCGACTGTTCATCTTGCTGCCTGAGCAGTCTCCTGGTACTCTGGCTAATAGAACTGTTTGCCAAAAAGTGGGAGAAGACTCCGATGGACCCTTTGAGGGTTCAAAAGGCAACAGGAAATCCGTAGAAGCTATTCTGGAGGAAAGCACAGAAAAACTGAAAAACCTGTCTTTGCAGCAGCAGCAGGGTTCCAGCACAAGCGACAGCCAAAAAAGCTCCGACACCAGTGACTTTGAGCACATCGAATCCCCGACACAAGAAGCCGTCTCGAACTCTTCGCTCTGCATGGCCGCAGACAACAGAGAGCTGGAGAACCGGATCGGAGCCGCGCCCGGTGGCAGCGGAGGCGCCTCTTCTGACACCGACAACCAGTTCGTCTGCGAGGAGCGGTCGGACTCCGAGGTGAACAACGATCGTAGCACAAGCTCGGTGGACAGCGACATCCTGAGCTCCAGCCACAGCAGTGACACGCTGTGCAATGCAGACAGTTGCCCCATCCAGCTGGCCAACGGCTTGGATTCACACAGCATCACAAGTAGCCGACGCTCCAAAGCCCACGAGGGGAAAAAAGAGACCTGGGACACTGCTGAGGAAGACTCTGGAACAGACAGCGAGTATGACGACAACGGAAAGAGCAAAGCAGAAGCTCAGTACCTGTACTTCAGAGCAGAGCCTTATTCTCAGGATGAAGCCTCATGG